CCCCAAAACCCCAAAACCCCAAAACCCCAAAACCCCAAAACCCCATAAATTTATAATACAATTGAAGATGGATAGTAAGTTAAGGCAGAAGCACAGAAATATTCTCAAAAGTAAGTGGCCAATCACAATCAGGGTAAAGCAGCTCTTTTCTTATTCTTAGCTCTTAAAGTTTCTTTACAGCAAAGACTGAGCTTAGTTAAAGATCTTTTCGAGAAAGTACTTAATGCCGTTCCAAATTGTATAAAATGTTATTAATTCCTTTAGACTTCGATAAGCAATATAAGAACAAAGATCAGGACTTCTCTAAGCTAAAAAACCATATTAATTCTCGTAAGATATTCCAGGTCTAATCATACTAGAGATTGAGAAGAAAGAATTCAGCCGAAAGCGGTCAACAGATTGCTTATACAGAACAAGCAATACAAGTCCTGTTCTGCTTGAATTCAAGCAGTTGAGGAGGCAGATACATTGACAGTAAGCCTCTCTTGATGATTCTAGAAAGCCGAAGAAGAACATGACCAGGAAATTAATAGATCATAATAACCATAAATTCTTGAGCATCTGATCACCGAACGAAGAGCTGATAAATTTGCTAAAATAAGGAGAAGAAATCAGCCAATAATTATACTAAAGTGATGAAGGAAGCCCACCGGAGTTCTTCCCAAACAATTGTGCATGAGAAGTTCAAGACCAAGAGAAGAGGTCGTGAGAATTACTCCTCTATATTGAACAACATAGATGGCTCAACAGGAGGGAAGTACTCAGAAAAGCGTGAGGAGAAAATGCCTATTCAGCATAACGGCCTGCTTACCAACAAGAGGCGTATTAAGGAGTTCACACCTGTGATGCAAAGAGAAAACAGGATTAGAAATAATCGGTTCAGCTCAGTTAGCCGCCACTATTCTACCAAAAATGAACAGAAGGTAGGAGTTCCACAGCAGAAGTTTTGAATAATTTCTGTTATAGTTACCTGAATATACTAACTTGGAGGAGGCCAAGGGAAGGAGAGAAAAGGAACTCCATGAATTCACACCAGTCAGGAGCTATAATAACAAGGTGAAGAATTTCACCCATGCCAAAAGGAGTGTTAATTTGGGTAAAGAAGAAGTAAAGAAATTAGGGAAGAATTCTACTTTAATAATGGTCTCCCAAAGCACAGGTAATAGATAAATGAGAGCTTTAGATGTGAAAGTTATAAATAAAGGGAACCCTGATAATGAAGATCTGAGAGAGTTTAAAAAGAAGAATAAAAAGGAATCTCAAAATGAACTTGATAAATTAAATGATTCTGGTATGTTCTTTTTACTCTCAAACCTTACAATTTATTGTAGATTCAGTTATTAACATGTCCAATTTGCCTGCTATTAAACTACCTGTAAAGAAGGAGTTTTCAAAAGTCAGACAAAGGCCTGAAAATACTCGAAGTAAGCTGCATAAAAATACTCTAAAATCTTGAATTTCTGTTAAAAATACTTAATTTCTTCTATACCTACTAAATACCGTAAAAGGCATATATGGACTTTAACCGTTCTTTTCGAGTTATCTAACATTCACTAGTGCTCAAAATTTCACAACCAAGATTCTCGAATAACAGTTTGAACTCAAAGAAATCATTTACTAAAGCTTGGGCTAAAAAGACAGAGAAGAGGAGTATGACTAAGTTTGAAGAACTGATGGCATTCTCTTTTGGGAACCATAAGATCCCCAATATCAATTCTAAGGGAGTTAAGCACCGAGTCAAGTTCTCACTTCCTATTGTCAAATAAAGCAACAGGAGGAGGGGCTAAAGTTTTCCCTTCTGGATTTATTAGGGTAATATTTCATCAAAATAAAAGTATTCTCGGTCAAATCGTGCTATAATGTATAAATTTTTATTGACATTTTTCCATATTTCTTCAAGAATCCGGGGTTTTGGGGTTTTGGGGTTTTGGGGTTTTGGGG